ACAAAAAGGACTGCAGGCAAACATTCCAGGATTTTGTGCATTAGGAAAGATGAATAAATCAATACGTGGGGCTTACAAAACAAACTAACTAGTTAGCTCCCTTTTTTTTTTTTTTTTTAAACACAATGTCTCCTAAAAGAACTGATTTGAGCAGAGGCAACTATAAAGACACGGAGACATAATAGGCCATGATTGAGTAATCAACTTACTTGTGATGTTGGAAACAGTATGTTTCATTTGGACATCCAGTTATCACCCAGAATTTTAAAAACAACTCAAATGAGCTGAAAATTGCAGTTGATCCATTTTGGTAGAGACTGTTTTATCTTGTGAGCAGTGACACTAGTGCTTTTGGATTCTGGTGCTGTGGTTCTAATTATATAAAGAACTGTCAGGAACATTATTTTCTATGTAGGTGAAGATATTAAAAAGCTGAAGTTCATCACACTATGTCATGGAAATAAATGTATTTGACATTCCGGTGCATACCAGCTCAGACAACACCCATGCCTACAATATTCAGACCTATCATAAATTCATAAGGATGGGACAGAAGGTTCCGGATGAGTGGATCCTTAAAAAAAGAATTCTCTTGTCTACATCTGACACTGTTCAGGAACCCAAATCATCTGGGAGCAAACTGGATGCATTTTAGTGGAAACTAAAGGCCAGAGAAACAAATGAAGCTCATTTCTCTTCCTCCATGTTCTTCTAGTCCAACTCAGGAGCACTGAGTCCCAAAGTCAATCTCCATCAAGCCATGTATAGGCAAGCACCCTACTCGTCTATGCTCCTACCTGTTTGTCAACCCTATACCTCACAGAAGAAACATATGGGAAGATTCCCTTGGCTGTGGCCCCATCATTTCCTAGTGAATACTTCTGTAATTTTCATTTATAAACCCCATCCACCAGATCCAGTGACTTGCAATTATCCACCATTTATATAAAACACACAAAACAAAATAAAGTTACGAAAGGAAATAGGCTTTTTTGAAAGATATAAATGTAAACAATATTCATGAAAGTTTTCTCCCCAAACATTGCAACTGATCTCCTCAGAGTTTAGGTTTCTTTGATCAGCTATCACTAAACCTCAAATGTTAAATGTTGATGAAGGAAACCTAGAAATAGTCTAGCTAGAAAACTTGAAAATAAAATGGACACATTTTAGAATATAAGTAAAATATGTAGAAATATACTGGGATAGATAAAAATATTAACATACAAAGAATCAGTTGAGAACACTTAATGAGAATATTCTGGAAAGATATTTTGACACCTCTAAGCAAAGATGCCATAATCCCTAATCTCAAGTAATTTCTAACATAAGTCTCTAGACGACTGCAAACAAATGCAATTATTAAGTGACTCAATGGTATACATTTCCAAGTTACAAAAGTTTGAGAAATTCAAAATGTTTAATACTTCAATGGCAGGGAAGTAGTTTGGGCTAATGTGGAAAAATCATGAAGTTGGAGGAGATCTGACTGAAACTCTAAAGGAAAGGAGGTAAATGTGATGAAAACTAGTAGGTTGGTTGGGAAAAAGAGAAAGTAGGAATGTGTGAATGACTAGCAAGGCCTTGGCAAGCGCAAGCTGACATTCTAACCAGACTAACCTCTCTCTGCCCCCGTCCAGACCACGTTTGTGCCAGCCAAGGTGGGTAAGGAGCCTGTGCTCCCCACCCACCAAGCCTGCACACCAGCTTTGCGGTCTGCAGCAACCTGGAGGAGGGGGCACCCTTTTTCTAATTTGCCGGCCCAGGGAAGGCACCATTAAATTTGTCTGTCTGGAGTGGGCTCCGTTTTGTGCCCAACGATCTAGTATGTGAGTTCGAGCATTCATGCACTGACTGTTACAACTGACTTACAATTAGATTCCTCTGTCTCATTTTCTCTCTTTGATTCTGCACTCAATGATTTCATTTTCACGTCCTTGAATACCATTTTGCCATTTTGGTGGCTTTCATTACTCTTATATGAGATCCAGAACTATACCCAGTCATCACCTAATTAAACCTCCCTCCTTTTATATTAACCCAGAATTCAAAATCTCTGTACCAACCTAGTCATTTGCTTGCAGTCACCCACACACAAGTTCTTCATCCCTCCTCCACCCTCCCCATGCATGTTTTGTGTTACTTCTCGTACTTTGTCTCTTTTCTACACTCTGATCATCAATTGGAACTTGGTGGTTCAGCTGAGTGGCCTCATCGGGGGCGGAAGATCGGACAAGGACATGAGTAACAATACTGCTTGGCAGCGGCAAACAGAAGTTTGCTCAAAACTAGTCTCCTCCGGAAACTTTCTGAGAGAGCTGATTTCATTTCTTTGATCCACATTCTTTTTATAATCAGTAAGCTCAGTTGTAACAGTAGTCTCAACATCATTTAGTTCATATTAAAAGGCTTCCCAAATTCTTTAGGTGGAAATGAAGATGCTTTTCTCATGACTAAGGACAATCTAGATGACATGTAGGGCCCCAAATAATCTTGGTCACTGTCAGTATATTCACATTTCCCCCTGTTCCTTGCCGCTGTGGTCTAGGCAAGTTTCAAATTCAAAAAAGTCAATCTGGAGCTATTTCAAACTACTTCCCAGGTCCTGAGTGCAAAGGACAGGAGGCAAACATTTTTCACTCAGCAAAGATAGTCAATAGGAAATTCAGGCTCAACCCACGCTTCTGCTACTCAATCCCTCTGTTCAAAATATGTCAAGAACTGGATATAGGGGACATTGGCTGACATTGTGTTATCTTCTGGGTGACCTCTGAGTACCTAGTACTTGTCTGAAGATGAACACAAGCACAGGAAAGAGCCCTGTGTGTGTAGAATATGACAGTCATGAAAATCTCTCTTCTGGATCCTATAAAAGAAGTTGATGGGAGGCAACAAAAGGATGCATAGCAGTTTATAAAATCTGTGTCACAATCACCTCTCTCTTGACAGTTGAAATAAATTAAATCTGCTCCACATCTTTTACCTGTCTCTCTGCTTTAATCCCTACATTGATTTTTGACCAAACAGCCTCAAGACTTGAAATAATCAAATCACATCAGATCAAATGCAAGTGATCTATTTCTGCTTTTCCATCTGACTTTTTTATTTTCAATCTTACATTTATTTACTTATATTTATTTTAAAAAGGAATTAAACCAAAACATAAAGTCAATAGCTGGGCATTTTACATCAATTATAACTTTTTACTAATAAGCCCTGTTGATCTTCTTATAACCTGCCAATTGAATATCAAAAAGCCATTTTGCAAGTGTTTAAAACACATGGACACTAACAATACTCACCATTACATTCAGTCACCCTCATACCGTTTACAGCTTATATTATAGTTTTGTGCAAGAAATTTAGTCATGTCTGGACAAATGAAAGACATTTTTATGAATTAGTAAAAGTTAAATAACTATACCTCCTAAAAAATTTGTTACCTCTATTTTTTTCTATAAATTAAGATGTTTATAATTATTTTTTCAACATATAATGTAAAAGATTTTATTTTCTATTTGTTTGAAAAAGGTTCTTTATGATATCTTTCTGAATAGAAATTTTCCTTGCCTTGGTCTCTGAGAGAAAACTAATGACTTTTTTTTCCCTTGGCCAAGTTTAAAAAACATTTCTCTAATGCAAGGTTTTTGTTTTTGTTTTTAAGGTACAAAATATTTTGTATATACATCTGAAGGAATGGAGTCAACACTTAAAATAAAGTAACTCTGTTAATTTTTCTCCCCCACATATTCCATTACCCCTCTCTTTTATGTTAAGTTCTCAGAACAATTTCGGTCTCGCCCACAACCCACGCTGCCATAAGAGAAGCATAGAAGGCTTGATGGGGTCCAAAGTGATTATGTATGAGAAAGTGCTGTCCTTTGCCTATGTCCTCCTTAGCACACACAGCTGCTGCAGGTATGAACCCTGTTGTTCTTCCTTTCCAATGCAGGAATAGACATCGGTCTGCAGTATAATCAGTCTGTAAAAGGACAGCCAAATCCCAAGAAACTTTGGCTCTAAAAGTCTACACACAGGCCAAGGCCCGTTGCTGGCTGGAAGCACATGAAAGAGTGGGAGAGAGAGACAGAGAGAATGGTGAAAGGAAAGAAGGAAGGAAGGGAGGGAGGAAGGAAGGGAGGAAGGAAAAAGTTAATACAATTTCTGTCACCAGCAAAAATGGCTTCTTCTGACATGTTCCTCTGCTGTGAGAAAATGTGCAAGAGGCCGACCCTGGAGAGCCTGAGACCACCTCCCTCTCACTCCGACCCCGCCACACACTTCTCTCGAGGCCTCTCTGCACTTGCACTTCGGGAAGTGAAAAGTTACTTTTTCTTACTCTCACATGGGTTCTGCGGGGCCTGCAGTTTACACGATTAGGGCTTCATTATGACACAGGAAACAAATTACTAATACAAAATTGGTGCTGGTCCTTGGGGGAAGCCTGCTAAGGTTGAAAGGCCCAGAAGGCTAGTCTGTTTCTGCTCTGAGGGCCGAAAACAATGGAAGGAATCAAAGCCCTGAGCTCGCAAAGGAGTAACGTTATCAAACATTTATTAAATTCCATTCAACTCAACACTGACTCAGCAAATACCAATCCAGCACCATTTTATTATTGCTGAGGATATACGAGGATTATAAAACTTAGTCACCACCATCACGACGCTGCACTGTGGTTGAAAACCAATAGAAGTTATCCAGCTGAAACTCGCAGGCTGTTAATACCATGTATTTTTTTAGGCTTACCACTTACTTTTTTAATTTCAGGAATGTGGCAGATCAAGAAACTGGAAAGATTTATAATTGCTAAATCTGGGATTGATGGAGTAGCAAGATAAAGAAAAACCAAATCCTAGCATTCAATGACCCACAACTTACCCAAGCTCCAATGTTAAAAAATATTTTGAACAACAGAGTCATGAAAAAAGACAACAGAAACCAATCCACCGTGGATGCCCTTTTCCACTTTTGACCCTGGAAGACGTCCCTGACGTACTCACCATCAGTTACAGTCAACCTCAGTGCGAACATTTCAGGGGTCTCGTTGTCCCCTGCGTGGGCCCTGAAACAGCAGCGGTAAAGCCCTGAGTCAGAGGCCATGACGTGGGGCATGATGATGAAGGTGCTTCTCATGCCCTGATTACAGTCACTGAGTATCTGTCTTTGGTACTTTGAAGTATAACTCTTCCCTTGGGACAAGTTGCAGCTCGCCAAGAGGTCGATCTGATGGGGCTGGATCTTTTCCCACATAACCTGGTGTACTGGCCACTTCTGTGGTAGCTGACAGGTGAGCGTGACATTTTTACCAGGTTCTGAGACGATGTGGCTATTTGATGGCACAGCGATCTCAAAATTATCTGAAAACAAGAAGCAAGTGATTACACATAGGTCCTCAAATTTGGGGGTGCAAAGGTAGGAGCTGCCCAGAAAGTTCTATCAAAAGTTTTGGTGATGTTATTTAACACAATTTCATCAACTGTAATTGATATCTTCATGACACATTTTTGTAAGGAAAAGACCTTTGAAAGAGGCGAGTAAATAAATAGAAGAGAGGATATAGTTGTTCGCACCTATTCTCTTAAGTTTTTCATGGTTAACCATATAACAAGAAGTGTAATCAAAACCCCTGGTGCTTTTCTTGGTAATGATCTTATCAAGAGGCTGAATTTCACAAGACTATTATTCTGTAGTAATGCTGGGCTGGTGACTCAAAGATTGTATCCAGATCGTAATCACTGATTTTAATGGTCATTGAAGAGATAACAGATCATTTTCATTTGAATAAATACCTATATAAACTTATCTTTCAGATATACAGGTTGTTTTAGGCGTACATAGAGTAGGGGTCCACATGTGATTTAAATCCCTATGTACCAAGAAAGTCCTTCAATATTTTCCCACTTTCCTACCACCAAAGTTAAGATACCCAGCACAGAGCACTCAGTAAATAAGCACCAGATAGTTCTGGGCCCCTTTCTTGATTTCCAATTGAAAAAGAAAAGAAAAGAAAAGAAGAGTAGAGGGGACAGGAGAGGAGAGTAGACACCACACTTGAGAGAAGAAGAAATTGAGTCTAAAACACAGTAAGGTATTTGCTGTCTATATTAAACTAGAATACTGTGTCTACAATAGTTTCATCTCCACCAAAAACTAGCTTCTTTTCTTCAACAAGTAGTTCCATTGGTCAAAATGTTGTTGAAAAGAGAAAACCACAGCACTCCAGTTTTTCAATTTGTAATCGTATAACTATTTATCAAATTAACACTTAATCCACATAACAGGCGCACAGGAAGCATTTTATCTCTAAATAAAAAGACAACGGAAGAACAGGGGAATAAAAAAGAAGGAAAGGGAGAAAATTCATAAGACATGGAAAAAATAAGAAAATAAAAGCCTAAAGAAAACAAAGGAGAAACTAAAATAAAATTAAGACAGTGAAAAGAAGATACGAGAAAAGAGAAAAAAAATGAGAGACAATATAAATAAAAGGCTAAATCAGATACACATACACTGTACTGGGAAAATATAAGGAAATAAAAGAAAGGAAAAAAAGACAAAGAAACAAATGTTTGTGTGAGCCATGCTTGACCCTCAGAAATTGGCGGTAGGCTAGCCCTGTCCGTCCTGAAGTTTGTTTTCAGTTCTGCACACCTGCTGTTTAGTTGTCTTCCTCTGTGGGGCCGCCCTCCACCCATCTCAGAGCTTGATGTGCCCATATTACAAAAACCTGCTCTCAGGAAGCAATGCCGTGTGATGTTGGTTCAGGTATAAAGGGGGATCTTCTCTTAGGAGTGTCTGCATTGGTTCCAAGGACAAATGCACAAAGCAGTGAAGGCAGTCTCCAATGCTGAATAGCCAGGCATCAGGGTCTCAGGTGGAGCTGTCCTCCAGGGAGCTGGGGAGGTTCACCAGCCCAGGCTTTATATAAGGACCCAGATCCACCTGTCAGTAGACACAGACGGAACTGAAAGAAGCAGGCCCCCGCTCAGAGGCAGGTGGTTCTGAGGCACAGAGCAGCCCCCAATTAACCTTCCCAGATGAACAGAATAGCTGGCTGGTGTCAGATGAAAACCGAGACCCAGAGGAGGTCTGCAGAGCCTGCCTGGCCTCTTCTGTTGCTTGCTGTCTGCTCATGTCACCTGATCCTCCTGCACAGCCCATGTAAGGTGACAGGAAATGTGTCTGAAAAACCCCCCACACAAGAGACCCTGGCATCCTGACATGCTTGGAATTGGAAAGCACATCTACTTAAAATAGGGATCAAAATGTTGTAGTTGATAGGGAAGAAAAAGTTTGATTAGAACCTTAAAAATAGAAACAAAAATAATAAACACCAGTTAATTTTATATTTCTATTTAGTGATGTATTAATCCTCAGCATAAACATAGAATAGACTGTGTTTTGTTTTGTTTAAAAGACTGTTTTTTAAAGCAGTCTTATGTTTACAACAAAACTGAGAGGGAGGTACAGAGATTTCCCACATACTTCCTCCCTCCCCCCACACAGAGCCTCCCCATTATGGACATCCCCCATCAGGATGATACATTTTATACCAAGTAGGAACCTATATTGTCACATTATAATCACCCAAAGTCCAGAGTTTATATTAGAGTTCACTTCTGGTGCTCTACATTGTATGAGTTTGGACAAATGTACAAGGACACATATCCACCATGATGTCATATGGAGTATTTTTGCTGCTCTAAAAATCCTCTGTGTTCTGCCTATTCTTCCCCCTGACCCCGCCTCAACCCTTGGCAACCACTGATCCTCTTACTCCTCCATACTTCTGCCTTTCCCAGAATGTCAGAAAGTTGGAATCATACGGCAAATAGCCTTTCAGATTGGGTTCTTGCACTTGGTAAGGAGCATTTAAGGTTCCTCTATGTATTTTCATGGTTTGATAGCTCACTTCTTTTTAGTGTTGAATAATATTCCATTGTCTGGATGGTGCGCAGTTTATTTATCCATTCACCTACTGAAAGACATCTTAGTTGCTCCCAAAACAATTGGCAATTATGAGTAAAGCTTCTGCAAACAACCACATGCAGGATTTTGTGTGGACACAAATTTTTAATTCCTTTGGGCATATATCAAGAAGCACGATTGCTGGATTGTATGGTAAGAGTATATTTAATTGTGCAAGAAACTGACAAACTGCCTTCCATAGTGGCTACCCCGTTTTCCATGCCCTCATTCCATGAATGAGGCTTTGTGTTACTTCCGTCCTCATCAGCACTGGGTGTTCTCAATGTGCAGGATTTTGTCTGTTCTAATAAATTTGTCTGTGTGTTGTTTTTACATGATTTTATTACAGAATAATATGATGAAATTCTCTGTACTTTGTATATGATTTTTCTGACAAGATAACAGATCATTTTAAAAAATTATCTCAGGGCTTCATCAGCTTTCCCAAGCACCACTCAATCCCTGGGGACCCCCAAACATTCCTGGGTACAGCTGTGCATCATGCCACCGCCCCGGGCCGCCATCACGTCCCCAGCTGTGAACCTGTCCTCCTTCACCCTTCTCACCAGCAGTGGCTCTGCGTGCAGTGTGAACAGCCCTGTGTCATCACTCATCAACTTCACAGAACCCTGAGTCCATTTACTAGAAGCTTCATAGGCCCAGGCCTCTGTGTAGACCTTTACATATCACTCTATACTTAGGACCTAGAGCAGTGTTTGGCATAGAGCAGAGAAGTCAAGAGATCATTTTTGAATAAAAAACGTATTTGTAATTTCACTTTGCAGTCAATGTGTGTACCCACTGATCTGGGGCAGGGGGATATTTACATCCACAAAACCTCTCATACTGAGAAATGTGTTTGAAATCGTATGTGTAATGCCTAAAGGAATTAATTGTTCCAGGCAATGATCATCAATGTCTGCAAATTCACAAAAAAAGCCCATTCATGTCTCCACAATGCCACCCTGAGAATAGTAGCCTTGCCAAAATAATCCAGTCTGACCCGGCTCAAGCCTCTAAATCTAACCTACCAATTTACAGAACTCCAAAGAGCAGAGAAACATGTCCAGTGAACCCCGGGCAAACAATCCCTGGGAACACGAAAACACAGAACTCCTCAGCTCCAAACAGGATGTCTCCCATCCCTGAAAACCAGTTTTGGACCCTGGGGTGCTTGCTGACTCATCCACCTTTCTTGTCTAGTCATTCAAATCCTGGGAGGAATCCACCGCTCCCGACTCTGCCTCACTTCTCATGTATGCTTCAAGGCACCAAGGAACCGCTCCTGCCATTCTCCAGCACGGCAAGTCATGCATGTTCTTGACCTTGAGTACTGGATGCTACTCTGTCCTGGAAACCTCTGGCCTTCTGTGACCCTGCATGTCCCTGCCTGTCCTCTTTCCTTTCTGACCTTCCTGCACAGTCTTACTCAGGGGTCCTTCTGCCTCCGCCGGTCTTTTAAAATGTTGTTGTGTCCCCCCACTCCTCCCTCGGGGTTCCAATGCCCATCCCCCTCCGCTCACCATCCCTGGGTAATCCCTCCTACCTGCAATTTCCAAACATCTCCTACGTGCGGATGTCCAAATCCACCAGCCCTGCTCACTCAGACCTCTCCCAGGGTTTCCAAAACACAAGACAATAACTTGCTCTTATGATGTTTAAAATAGGCTAAAAATTAAACAGCCAGAATGGCCCCAAGCTCTCTGCAGGAGCACTATTACTCCAGTTAATTAGAAGTGGTAATAGTAGCTTCACACATTCCCACTGTGCCTAGACTGTGTATGTGCTCAAGAGAGAGCTTTCCTAAAAGCTCTTAAAGCGTCCCATTTAAATGCAAAATAAAATGTTGATTGCATTATGACTAAGGAAGTATTTAAAGTGACCTGAGGTAAAGATCTCAAAATTAAGCAAGCACTTGCTAAGAGATTACATCCTCAGAGTTCTCATCAAAGAAAAAATAAAATTTCGTGACCACGTATGGGTGACAGTTGTTAACTAGATTTATTGAGGTCATCACTTCTCAATATACTTATCAAGTCATTATGTTGTACCCCTGAAACTGATATCATGTTATTTTACCCCCAGGGCAGTGCACCCCATAAGCTGTGCCCGACACACCCCTGATCACCCTGTAAACCCCAGGTGCTGTGAGCACTTCAAAGGCAGAAGGCAATGAAAGTAGTGGGCATGGCATTTCTCTAAAAAGCTGGAATGTTCCCAGAGGATGCTTCGGCGGGGGGTTATGGGTTGAACTGTGTCCCCCCAAAATTCACATATCGCAGTCCTAACCCCTAGCACCTCAGCATGTGACCTTATCTGGAAGGAGGGTCATTGCAGAGATCATCAGTTAAGATGAGGTCACCCAGAGTGGGGTGGCCCCCAACCCAAC